GAATACAAGTGTCACAATTTGGCACAAACTTATTGAACTTTAAAAATATGCAAAATCGGAAATTAAAAAACAAAATGGCGCTAATTTGAGGAAAAAATTATTCAATTCTTTTTATGGTGCACCGATATTTACCATGGCTATGAAATCTATAACAGAACTTACTGTTTATATGTTTTTGAGGTCGCTCATGACAAATATATAATTGGATTTTCAAAATTCAAAATGGCGAATCCAATATGTCCGACAAATTTTTCTAAAATTTACTCGATTCACTTAATTTTTGTTACTCAGGGGTTTTGGGGTCGCAAATTATAAATCTGCTATCGGATTTACAAAATTCAAAATGGCGGATACAATATGGCCAACAAATTTTTTTTAACCTTTAAAGTGCTATGCCGGTCTGACAGACCGCTATTAAAATTTTCTTTGCTTGTAACTTTTTTTCAAAGTATAATAAGAACTTGAACTTTTTAGTAGCTTCATATTTTATGAAAATCTGTTAGGAGACAACTTTTTCAAAAATTTTTATTCGTTAAATTTTGTAATATAAATAAATATTTGAAGTATAGCGGTCTGTGAGACCGGGGTTAGCTTTAAGTGAAAGTATATTCCAGTATATTCCCATGAGTGACGTCTGCGCAACTTGACGCGCAGCTAGTTCTACTGACAGTTCTCATAGACTGCATTTATAAAATAAATAAAATAAATAAATGCATAATACAGAAATGACTTTTTTTGTTAAAAAGTAAAAAATATTTATAATAGTTGCCTTTTAAAAATTATAAATGACTAAAAAACTGTCAAAAGGGAATAGCGGTCTGACAGACCGGGGTTAGCACTGAACGTGATTTTTCAACACTTAGCACTTTAAAGGTTAAATTTACTCGATTCGCTTGAATTTTGTTACTCCAAGGGTTTTTGGGGTCGCATATTATGAATTTGCAATTGGATTTTCTAAACACAAAATGGCGGATCCAATTTAGCGGACAAAAAATATTTAATCAATTCTAGTCACCTGAAATTTGAAAATGATGACCATCTATTAGGCAGAATAGTCAGAATAAGGCAGAATAAGGCAAAATACAAAGAAAATCCATATACGCATCACCCGCATTAAAGAGCATTGAAACAGAGGCGAAGATTATAAGGCGCGCTGTGCATCCCAGTATAAAAAGGATTTTTTAATATAGCATTTTGGACGATTGAGCAGGCCGTCTGCTCAATTGTCCAAACGGCATTTGGACAATTGGACTGGTTGCTCAATTATCCGATGCATTAGGTCCAATCATCCCAAATGTTTTTCGTGGCTAAAAAACTGCTGAATTAAGAAAAAAAGTACTGAATTAATTAATTCAGACAAATACAGAAAAATTAGGTATAAAAATACCTCGAGTGAGGAAAAAAGAACAAGATTTCTAAAATATCACTTTTTAACTGACAGTGTACTTGTACTGTACTTGGAATTTAGTTGGCAAAGAAGTGAGGATTCTGATAAAGAGAAACACTTCATTATCCACTCTCAATACTCGTCATGTGGTCCCTGGTTAAAAAACCGGACAATAAGAATATGAAATTATTAACAGTCATAAGAATTTTTTATTATTTTTTTCACGAATATTTTTTTCAAAAATATCCGTTTAATTGTAACCATCTCGGACTTCCAATTGTGACTCGATATCCAAGTTGAAACAAGTTCATATTATACAATGTAACCTGCTTGCGGAATTTCCGGTTTACTGTATAATGTTCAAACTGAAACCACAGTTCATTTTTAACTTGACATTCCAAGTTCCCCAGTAGAGCCCTAAGCACAACTGAATCGGGTGCGGGAGACGACTTCGGGATATGGGCTTCCTAACCTCAAAATGTATGTAAATCTTACATATCCCGAAACCGTCTCCCGAAACCCAACTCAGTTGTGCTTACCCTGCCAGAAGAATGGACTGAAATTGTACTAGGGAATTAGTATTGAGAGCTCAGTGCTATTTCAGTGAAAATTTGCTGCGTTTCAGCACTGAAATTGTACTGGGAAAAATTACCTGCAAAAGGGTCGCTATCGGTGATGTTTATGGCCTGACCGTCATTGAGTTGAAGGACGAATATTTCTTTGTTAATGTTAAAAATAATTTTTATTTATATTTCAACATAATATTTGTTTTTCATGAACTCAGATTCTTTACAAGTATTTATTAGGTATGCTAAATATTCTTGCAATCTAAATTCAAAAATAATATTTGTTTTTACGTAACAATTAGAGTTTGCGAGATAGTTTATAACTTTTTTAATTAAACGCATTTTTTATAATGAATTTTAGATATTTGTAATCATAAAACATCACAGATTCAAATTTTTTTGTTTTGAAAATTTAATTATTTGAATTGTAAACTTTTTAAGCCATAAAATTATAATCCCATACAACAATAGGCTTTCGGGTCTATTGTTAAAGCAGGGGTTGCAATATAAGTTTAAAATTTAACGGGAATTTCGTTAAAAATTTTGTTAACCTTTTTTATTTTCACTTCCAGACTGTTAACAATGGTTTGTTGACATAACCTACATTTGAAACTATTGTTAAAGGACTTTAAAAATGTCCACCGAAACATTAAAAAAAAACGGACTGAAATTGTACTGGAGGCCAGTACAATAATACTTTTTCAGTCCATTCTTCCGGCAGGGTAGGCCTTAGCACGTAATATTACAGCATTGAGAACACTGCCTTAACATTACCAATAATGCCTCAATGTTGTTAGAATGTTCCCAACATTACGTGCTACCGGGGTTCAAACCAGCTGTAAATACTACTTAGGGACCGTTCATAAATTATGTAACGCTTCAGGGGGTTCGGGGGGGGGGGTCAAGATATTTGTCACACTCATTATAAAAATGGCTCTAATGTATGTAAAAGTTTGATCACGAAGTAGTATAAGGAGACCTCACGCCAATGCTTTGCAGCGGCAAAAATCAACACATTTTGGGGGGGTTAAAGTTATGAGTATTTGCACCAGCAAGTATTTGCTCAAAGCAAGTAGGCTCCTATTTCTACCCGGTTCTACTGGTTCTTTAATATAGGGTTGCTTCTTAAATCCAGGGTACCGCTTGGATCAAAGGCATGTAAGCGCGTTATGATTTCGGCTTTGGTCCATAGTCTGTTACCCCACATATCGGAGCCACTTCCTTGAGAGTGACCACTGTAAAGATTGTGGGTTCCATCAAAAGAATGTGCGTTGCGTAGCTAGTTGGTTAGGGTTGCGTTCTATTAATATTAGGGTTGTGTGTTCGATTCCGGTCGTTAGTAGATTTTCTGTTAGGTAGGCTATCATTAAGTATAAATAAATGTTTAGAGTTTATAGTGTATAAATTCTGGGTGCAATATCAAGATACGTGGTGCTTTAAGGGGTTACACCACTTTGAAATTTTCAAAAAATTAAAAAAATTTTTTTTTGCTTAAAATACTCTTTATGGACACCAAAATGATATGTCATTAGTTATATATCGATATCTCAAGTAAAAAGACAATTTTAGAACTGTTCAAGCAGGGTCGCGCGCTAAGGTTTACATTGTAATGAAAACTTTAAACTCGTTTTTCTCAAAACTGTATTTTAAAAATCGGTGGACACTCTAGCTGCCACAAATTTCAATCGATCCTCTTAGTTCTTTTTTTATTTTGTTTGTGATATAATTATCTAGCGAAATACGTACGGATTTTTCGAAATATTAATATTTAAATTTTCTAGACAACTTTAAATAATGAAATTTAGGCAAAAATACGGACTTTTTCCTTCAAATCGATGCCATTTTGCGAAAAATAAATTTTTTTTAAAACGGATACGTATTTCGCTAGATTTTGAGCTACAGAAACTAAAGCATTTTTACTTTTTGGTCTAGCTTAATTCTGGACCGAGTTATAGTGTCCACCGTATAGGGATACATTTTTAAAGCACTTTAACATATCATCTGTCAAACCGACAATTTAAGAAAAAAGAAATTTATATATATTTTTTTGTAGTTCAAGAGTAGTACAATACCCTACTGTAATTTAATTTTCCTAAAAAAATTTCTATTCTTCAATAAAAATTATTGAAAAAGCTTATGTTTTGACTGGGTCAAAGTGGTGTAACCCCTTAAAAAAAATTAAAAACTAAAAGGTTTACCTTTTAGTTTTAAAATTTTTTTTGTATGACAGAAGTTATTATACATTTATATACAGTATTTATACAATTTATATACAGTATAGTAATTTACTTTATATTGATTTAACATATTTACTATACTGTATTAAGAATCTCTTAATTAAATATTTCATAGAAAGGATATCTTTTTTAAGACAGTATTGTAATTTATTTCACATTGATCCAAATTTTATTCATATTTGTCTTTATTTTCTTTAAACTTTATTGTAATTTATTTATTTTTTTATTTATTTGGTTTATACACCCGTCTTAAGCTTATCTAGCTATACAAGTGTGTTTACATTTCTCTTACAATATTTCTTATAAATACATTTCTTAATACTAAGTTTGCGCCTACAGAACGTCTTGAAATTAGGAGTACTCGCATTTGCCTGGACCAACCGTCTAATGGGTTTTCTCGCCAGTGGAGAGGGAAACTGTAGAAAACCTCTCCTGAGTACAATCGGTTTATCGACAGTCGAGTTCTAATGGTTTGTACAGGACAATAATCGACGGTGCACATCATTATATCTCGACGTCAAACCTCCCGCTCAGGTTGTCTCACGTGTTCTTGGGTTTACCATATGGTACTTTTTGGTACGTCAATATTGGCTGCCAATGCTTGGCAATGTCGTGATCATCCCGAGACTCTAGCCATAGTAGTCCAATATTGGTTGCCAATGTTTGACCGAGAAAAAGCTGTTGGAAGCCAATGGTAACCATTGTCAATTTCCCATTGGGATAGTATTAAGCAACAGACAAGTGTGTAAATAAATAAAATTATAATGTTATAATGTTCATTGATTTTTCTAACAATGTGTTTAATTTTAGGGCAGTCCTTGGAGAAATTCAGAAAAAGGATATTGAAATAAAATTAGAGGTATTAAAGCAAAAACGAGGATTATTATTAGAACTTAGTGTCAGGTTGGATTGGGCTGGCATTACTGATCCTATAAAAAAATGTTATATTGAACCTCCTAGCATTAATAACATGTCTCTTGTTATGTTCTTATTGACCGTAATACAACTCCACAAATTATACTTCTGCAAAAATACAGGTAACATTCATTTTGTCAAATTAAATTAAAAATGGTCTTTACATATGTTTTTAACACTTTGTCAGTTAGCATCATTCCTCACTATTATCATTGTAAAAAATATCGAGAAAATATTGCAACACAAATGCGAAAAAACTTATTATTTACAGTTTTTATTTTCTTAAAAAAATTCTTTACTATTTTTCTATACTCGTCCGCTAACTTGCTCCCGTTTACTTAGTCAGCGAAATTTCTTTTCAGGGTAATCCCACCAATCAACTCATTTCACTATGTAGAATTTCACAATAATAAATACTTTCATTTTTCTTATAAATGTATTTAAATACGTGTTATAATACATACGAATTTGAAACAAGATTTATACTTGTTTATGTGGACGTCCACATGAAAAGGGTCCATTCTGGCACTATTGGACTTATCTATTGTAGTATTTCTGGTTCTTCTGGGAAGTTATTCAAATAAGAATTGTTTCCAGCACACAGAGTTTCCTTTCTAAAAAGGACGTTTTTTTTATTAATAAACAAAACATGTTGATTGATGAAAAAAACTAAAGATTTTTCTCCAAAATTACTAAATTGCTATCATCTCGAAAACTAGACCGACAAAATGGACCCTTTCTATGTGGACGTCCACATATAATTTTTTAACATTTATATATGGGAGATTGGGGTATTATGAGCCACACTTTTTCTTAGCTCAATATCTTACACAAAAATCTCAGTAAAGAAATGGCTGTCTTTATTCCCTTGTTGCTTAATATACTATTTTTTCAAATTTTTCGTGTCAGTGGGAGGTATAACCTAATATATATCATAGTCAGTTTCTTAAAATTATCATTTACCTAAAAAAAAGTTTGAGTTTTACCAAAAAATGCATTTTTATGATTTTTAAAAATGTTATGGGGAATTGTGGGTCACTGCCTTAATTAAGTACAAAATAGAAAATAACAATGAAATATATTTATTAAATGGTTAGAAATATTAAAAATGTTATAAATGTTAAAATTATTAGTTTACCATTAGAAAATATAGAATGAAGGAAAATGAAATTAATCGGAATCACAATTTGGACAAAAAATAAAGGCTCCATTAATTAAACATTTTCTAGCAAACACGTTGTATAAGTATGTCATAACAGTGAGGTCACAGTGTTATATATAGAACATCTGTTTCTAACTAGTTACAGATCTGTTATATAACCACTGTAACAGAGTTCTAGAACATAGTTAGTTCCCTGATAAAAATTTCGGACTAATTCCAGATTAAATACGGACAGATTAGTACGGATTAATCCGAAAATGATCCGCGCTAGACTGATATCAATCCGAATGAAAACCTGCATCCGAAAACACTCCGGAGAAATCCTGAATGTCTACGAATTTAGTCCTTTATTAGTCCGCAACAATCCAAATTTATGACCGGTGAAGAATTCTTCTAAAATAAGTACGGAATTATATCCGATATCAATATGTAAAGAATACGGAATCAGTCCGCAACAATCCGAGTTCAATCTAGTTAAAAAAAACTTAATCCGCAAAATGTCCGGAGCAATCCGAAATCTGTACACAAAGAATCCGACATTAGTCCGCTTCAATTCGGAATTAGTGTGGTAAAATCATATTACGAAACAATCCGAAATATGTATGCTAAGAATCCGGAAATAGTCGGCCACCCGAATCATATTATATCCCTGGTAAAAATTTCGGAGTAATCCGGATTAAATCCGGGTATATTAGTGTGGATTAGTCCGATAATTGTACGAAAATGATCCGCGTTAATCTAACATCAATCCGAGTGAAATTGTGAATCCCAAAAATCAGTCTGGAGTAATCTTAAATGTCTATGAATTAAGTCCGTAAATATTACGCAACAATCCGAAATTATGTCCGTTAAAAAACTCATCTAAAATAAATACGGAATAATCCGAAATCACTATGTACAGAATACGAAATCAGTCCGCAATAATCCCAATTTAATCCAGTTAAAAGATTTAATCCGAAACAAGTATGGAACAATCCAAAATCTGTATGCAATAAAGAATCCGGTAATAGTCCGCGTCAATCCGAATAATATCCGATCAAAACACCCCAGTCCAAAAATAAGTCTTATTATTATATAAGAATTTTTAAATATATGTGGACGTCCACATGAAAAGGGCCCATATTGTCGGTTCCAGTTTTCGAGATAATCGCAATTTAGTAATTTTGGAGCAAAATCTTAATTTTTTTTTAATTTTTTATTATCAATCTACATGTTTTGACAAGTCGAATCATGCGGTTTTCATTAATTTATCTATAATTTAACTGTTTGATTTCATTGGTTCTTTAGAAAAATGAAAAGGGCCCATTTTGTCGGTCATTTGCAAAAGTAAACCGAATTTTAAAAATGGAGGTGTAGAAAAATTTAAAACCTCTTGATTTTTCATCTCTAAGGTGTCCTGGACTGTAAACAATTCTTATCTGAATAACTTCCGAGATGAACCAGAGATATTGAAGTTAGAATCTTTTTTTTGTAATTTTCGAAATGGAAATTTGGATATTGCGTCAATTTTTTCATAATAGAGACTGTCAAAAAATTTTTAATAAGTGTAATATCTATTCTTTTTCTTCAGATGACACAATAAAATTGTACCTAATCATTAATCTTGTAAAAAAATGGTTTTTTAATAGAAAAATTCTCCTTTTTAGAAAAGGGCCCATATTGTCGGTTTTTCGTATTTTCAAAATTAAGAGGGGGCGGATGGTTTTAAAAATTTAAAATCTATTGGTTTTTAATCTTTTAGGTACCCTGGACTGTAAAAAATTCTTATAGCTGAATAACTTCCCAAAAGAACCAGAGATATTGATGTTAGAGTCTTTTTTTCGTAATTGTCGAAATGAAAATTTGGATATTGCGTCATTTTTTTCATAATAGAGACTGTCAAAAATGTTTTAATAAGTTTAATATATATTCTTTTTCTTCAAATTACACAATAAAATTGTACCTAATCATTAATCTTGTAAAAAATGGTTTTTTAATAAAAAAATTCTCCTTTTTAGAAAAGGGCCCATATTGTCGATTTTTAGTACTTAAGTACGAAATTTTTGAAAATTAAGAGGGGGGATAGTTTTAAAAATTTAAAACCTGTTGGTTTTTTATCTTCAAGGTGCCCTGAACTGGAAACAATTCTTATCTGAATAACTTCCAAGAAGAACCAGAGATACAACAATTAGTTGATATCGCAATCTTTAATTCCGTTTTTCTCGAAATGAGGTTTTTGGCGTTCTAAACTTTGAAATTCCGTAACTCAGCGAATTTTCAACCAAAAAAGTTCTAAGACTACTCAAAATTCTCCAAATTTTGCCAGGAATACGCCCATATAGATAACTCCAATAGTTCTAAAATGGGCCCTTTTCATGTGGACGTCCACATATATACAATCCACAGACAGTTCAAAACAATCCGTATTCAATACAATTCAAAGACTTAATCTGGAATAATTTTGATATAATATTGAATTTGTATATTAAAAACAATTTGTATTAAATGCAGATAAATTCAAACTATAATTAAAATTTCGTAGGACAAAAACCTGACCAAAACCAGATTAACCTCTAAACTGCTACGTGCTGAAAAATCACGCTCAGTGCTACCCCCGGTCTGTCAGATCGCTATTCCCTTTTTTACGGTTTTTTAGTAATTTATAATTTTCTAAAGACAACTATTGTAAATATTTTTACTTTTTAACATAAAAAAGTCATTTCTATATTATTTTGATTCAATTTTTTTTTATTTTTACATATGTTATACTGTTTCGAATTAGCTGCGGATTCATTGGTTAAACCAACCGGATTACTTCTGCATTTACTAGTCGCATATGATCTGACTAACTGCAGACTAAGCCTGACTAATTACGGATTCAATAGTTATAGAAAACGGTATTGATTTCAAACTTAATTCATGGTGAAAAAACGCCATAATAAATCGTATTGTTGCGGACAAATTGCGGATTAGTTCGAAATCGGTCCCACTTTTTATTCAGAGTACAGTGGAACCTCGATTATCCGAACTAACCTAGGCAAGGCCGGGTTCGGATAATCGAAAGTTCGGATAATAGAGATTGTAATTTTTTCTTATATAATTAAAGTAAAAAAATCGACAGTTGAATTATATATACTTCATTTAATTCATTTTTTAAATATACATAAGTATATACGTAAATATATATTAATTCATAATAATATATTAATAATACATATAGAATTCAGAATTTTTTAAGATTTTTCTGGCATAAATTTCGTTATTTTCCTTTGAAAGATTCGGGAGGCCAAAAAAAAGTTCGGATAATAAAAGTTCGGATAAAATGATTTTCGGTTCGGATAATAGAGGGTTCGGATAATCGAGGTTCCACTTTATTTACTTATGGTATATAACCCGTGTGGAAAAGGCGACTGGGCCCAAACTGACGCCCATTGGGTTTTCCCATGTTCAAGGTGGGGCCCAATTGGGAAGCCCATCTTATCCCAATTTGGGTTATGACTTGGCTTGAAACTATTTTACCAACTTATTCCCAATTTGGGAAATCTAGTTGGACCCAATTTGGAAAATCTATCTGAACCCACTTTGGGTAATCTTGTGGATTCCCATTAAAATTTCCAATAAATATTCAATTTATTGATAATTTTAATTTTTTTACTCACTTTTATCACAGTCACTTTTATCACAGTCATTTTTATCCTATAATTCTACAAAGTAAATTATATTTCTAAGATATAAAAAAATATGCTCTTGCATAATTTTCTTTATTAAATTAAAAAAAAAATGTAAATAAAATAATAATAACAAAACTTACTAGATTCATTACTGAATTAATTACACAGCCACACAAAAAAAATAAAGTGTTTTGATCTGGCGTCGAGACATATATATTCCGATGTATTTCGATGCGCTGAATCCGAATCCGCCCTCAGAATTTGGCCAATGGGTCCTGGTTTCGCCCTAACCTCAAAAAATACCCTAAAA